CCCGCCCTCGTCCAGAACTTTGCGTTGTTGCTGTTGTTTTGCGTGCGACCCAAGGAGACAAAATTCAAACTCGCCCGAGGCGCACGGGGGCGTCTGTGCCCCCACAACCCGGAAAGCAGGGGCGACCCGAGCCCGCCGCCCTCCTCCGCGCAGGGGGACCCTGGCCCGGCCGCGCGCGGAGCTCCGGCCTCCGCCGACTGAGCCCCGGAGGAACTGCCCAGGGCGCCCCCGGCACGGCGCCCCCGAGGTCGGGGAAGCGGGGCCTCGGTCTTCCCACCCCCGCGGCTCGGCTGCCCAGCTCCCGGGCTTGGGGGCCAGAGCTCCTCTGTTGTTTTGTTGTGGGTTTTGTTTTCTGCCTTAGGCTCCGGGCGTGCGGGTTAGGAGAGCTGCTACCCTGAGAAGGGGACCTTGGTCCTCATCAGGAGCAAAATAAAACTAAAAGTAACCTTGTATTGTTTACAGAGCGCCCGGTACGATGTAAACACTGAACTTGACTCTGTCTCGGTAGGCGGGCGAGCGGGCAAAGCCCACTTTACAAGTACCTGTTGTAATGTGAATGTTTACTCTTCATTTCTGGCCAGGTTGAAGGGAGGGGAGGGGGGATGGGAAAGTTAATTGGAATGTTCACTTTCTTATGACTTAGAGACTTTCTTAGCTATTTATTTTATGAAGAAAGAAAAAGAAAAAAAGAAGGAAAGAAGAAAGAAAGATGAAATAAGCCCAAACCAACAAAGTACCAAGGGCAAGCCTGAAGTGTTCAGATAAACCGACTGGTAACAGGAAGAGGGTGTCAACAGATAGTTCCCCTGGACAAGTCTTTCTGTTTGTTGAAAGAACTTTTCCACCAAGCTAAAAGGGCTGCAAAGAGTTGTAAATAGTTGTGAATAGGAATGGTTAGACACTGTGTAAAACGCACTTTTGTTTGCTATATTCCTTTAGACTCTTAGGTAATTTGCTGGAAAACAAACTGTTGTTCTGGTGTGACCTGCTTAAGTTAAAAAAAAATTTGTAGTTACCATCGAAGCTGTAAAAATTTTACCTTTCATTTTTCTCCCTTCCTGTACCGAATTAGCATGGCATTTTAAATATTGATGTTCCTGTTCCCCAGCATGCCTGTTTCAAGACAAAGAGTTTTAAAAAGGTGTCTACATTAAATTATGACCTAGTCTAAATAATATTTTCTCATTAAAATATGTAAATTCAAATTTTAGTTTTGTGTGTTTTTGAAGAGTTGCTGCAGACATCAAGTTTACAAAAGATGGCTGGAGCGTTTCCCTAAGTACGCCTTCTGCAATATGAGTACTTTTCCTTTTTTGTATCGTATTGTGAGGAGTCCAACCTCTTCGTGTGTGTCCTTGCAGAATGTGAGAGAAGTTATTCAAATGGGCTCTTGAACATATTTATGTATAGGGAAAGAGGAAGCAAAGTATTTCTATTATAAATCGGATGCACAGGTGTAGTGTTCAAAAGCTGTTATTGAAAAAATATAGGACTTTATATGTATTTTTGTCTATCTTAAAATATACATATTATGAAATATGCAGCACTTATATAAGGTTCGCGTAGAAATCAGGTAGATGGAGATTTAAAAAGTAAAAACAGCCTTGCTTACTCAATACTTATATTCTGGTGCATCTTCTTTGGATTGAAAATTTATTTTCTTGGTCCTTGAAATGACTGCAGTTGTTGAAATTTTCCTTTTCAAGAAACTGCCTAATGGTTCACCTTACATGCCAAGAAACCTTCTCACTTTGAATGGGACTGATTTCTTGCACTCCTTCATGTGTGAAAATAATACTTGTTTAATTTATTCTGAACTCAAATGAAGTTTATTTAAATGCCTGGCTGTAAGTACTTGCTTCTCTTCAGATTTTTTTTTTGCAGAGAATTAAAATGTGCCAAGAATTTATGGTTCAAGACTAAGTGACACTTTATTGAAGGGGTCACAGGATTTCCAGAGTGAGGTGTGTATTCAGCTAATGAAGTTACAAGACAAAGAGAAACTTATATGGGGATTAACACCTTACTGTGTAAAATGATTAAACAAGGGACCCTTGTGCTACACGGAGGAGGCCGAGTAGAAAGCGTGATCGATTCACTGCGTAAGGAGAATCCTTAGCACCTGTGACTGTTAGAGTTAGTGGGTTACCTGGAAAACAATTTAGGATTAATGCACAGGGTAATTAATCCATTGTGACCACTTGTTTTTAAAGGAAGGATCCCACACACAGCCAAAAGGGGAAAATAAATAAATCATTGGACTGATTAAAATGCAGGAAGCTTCTAAAGCTCCTCAGACAGGGGACAAATAAACTCATTCATCAAGCCCAATTCACAATTATATCAACAAGATCGGCCAAAGAAAGCCTGAAAAACTTAGCCACCCTGGGTCAGGAAACTCTTGAAACTTAGTTCTCAACAAGAAATAATCTACATTTTTAAAAAGTGAATCCATTGTCACAGTTACCTGCAGCATAGAATGAAGACCATCTCTGGACTATTCTAATCTCATCTGACCTAGTAACACTGAGTTTGAGCTGAGAATGAAGGAAGGATAAAGGGCTACCATCGGACTGAGACGTTTCATGAATCATCCCTTTAGATAGTCAGGTAAACTATTCCTCTGCTGATAGGTCCCAGAACTCAGGTGAGTATGTGAACAGAAACACACATCATATACAAAGGCAAATAAGGCATAGTTCCAATTTCTGATTTCTAGCAGAGGAGAAATTTCAACTCAGCCTCTGAAAATACTTTTTTCAGCTGGTAAGTTCGTTGTGGTGTACTGCAGAGAATGAAGTACTGTGAGGTGTTGTGAAGCGTCTTTTCACCACTGCAGGCATCTTTTTCTCAAAGCAAGTTGAGTGAGTAAAGTGAGAAGAAAAATAAAAAAAGAAAACAACCCAAACACAAACTCACTGACACTATTTTGACCTGGCTCAGAAATCCATAGGCAGCCTAAACGCACAACCCCCTACCTAACCCTATCCCGGCCTTCCCCTGCCCTCCAACTTTGAGACTTGTGCCCCTTCTGGCTTAAGTGTCCCGCAGATGAGGAAGTTTATAACTGTGATACCTTCAATGGTTCTCTTTGTCATGTAAAATCTTTTCACCTGGCTCAAGTCCAAAGTCAACACACACAGCTTTAAAGTAAAACCAGAGAAGACAACACAGTGTAGTGAGAAGGTGTGTGTGTGTGTGTGTGTGTGTGTGTGTGTGTGTGTGTGTGTGCACTCATGCCCATATGCGTGCCGGTCAAGATACGGTACATTATTTTCTATTTCATACGTGTGGGCAGTACTATGTTTTTAAATTTACGTTTTGGACTTGGAAGCTTGGTTGGTTTTGCTGTTCCTTCTGTCTTTCCTTCCACATGGTCCTGGATTTAATTGTATTTTAAAACAGTTTTTTCTGTGATTTGAGGAAATGCTTACACAATGGGTGGATTTGGTCACTTTCTGAAGAGGGGAGCTGTAAAACTTCTCACTCTTCCTCCTGGCTGATTTGGGGGCTTTGAGAGGCCTGCGGGCTCAGAAGTGGGCAGCTGGTAGTACATGGTCCTCAGAGGGACTTAAATATGATAGCCGTGAGTTTAATTCCTCTGAATGGATAGGAACACCGAGTGTCCTGGAAGAATGAATCTAGTCTGGTGCTCAAGTAGGGTAAGATTAGGGGAGACGGGGAGAGAAAGATCCAGACTGTCGATTTTGCAAGGCCGATACCAGGTTAGGGAGAGAGGGGGTACAGAGTGGAAGGTGCAGGAATGGTTTCTGCTATTACAACCCAGAACTCTTTTTGTCACAGATATCCGGTTAAGAACCCGAAAAACTTGGGATCTGTTCTTAAATTCTTAATATAAATTTGGATTCATTTTCTTTTTCTTCTAAAAGGCACGTATGCACGGAGACACCCAAACAAAAACAAAACAAAAACAATCCAACCCACCGGCTGCGAAGCCTCAAAGGGGCTGCGTTTGTTGCCTTTAAACTAACAACAAATTATCTAATTAATATGTTTCAATTACAGCATGAAAGGGACCGCCCCTGGACCGCCCGCCGAGGGGCATAATAGCCCCAGAGCCCACTCTAGGAATTTACAATAACTTCACATCTGTTTCTTTATTTCCTACTTTTTGAGCCTAAAACTTCTCTCAAAATCACTTCGAGTCATGGCCTGAGTTATGAAATATGTCCCAGTGTTACAGGGGGACGCGGCTTCGTCCACGGATGCTTCATTTGCGAGCAAAAAAGTGAAAGCCCGTTGAAGAGCATTAAACAAATATATTAGAATTCTGTCACTTTATGCAATTGAGTAGATCAAATGAAGGGTCCAGGCCACTTCATTCACTCTCATTCACTCGAATAGAAAATGCAAAGAATAGCAACCCGAGACTGGGCCACCGATGTAGATTTAGCTCCTTTTTACTGGGAGACAAAAAGGCCGAGTCTTCACAAACACATTGCTGACTCGGGGACTAGGAAACCAGCATTGGAACCCCTTTGGAATTTAAATTCATTTTATCTTCCTCTCTCTTTGCAGGGATCTGTTTGCACTACAGTGCAAGATGCAGGCATCCCCTGGCTTCTGAAAAGGGGGGGGAGGGGAGAGAGTGGGGGGCGGGTAGCATGGGCCTTGGGATTCCCAAGGAACTCTTGTGATTAATGAACACGCAGGTCTGACATAATAGGTTTGATTTAAGCAAATCTTCATCTACAACGATATAAACATGATCACATTACACACATCTCCCAGTCTCCTGCTCTGTGCTGGCCTGGATTACACACCCAGCTTGTTTTCCAAGAGTAGAATCACAACTGTGATTCTACTGACATTTCAGTGCATCACAGCAGTCCTGAAAGCTGAGCTTCCAACATCACCTGCCCTGTCTCTCGTAGTCTCTCTCTGTCTCTCGCCAGTCTGAGCTTCTCTGTCTCTTACACATCTCTGCACTCTGCTAGCTATGCGTCTGAGCAGGGTGATGGTTAGACAGATTGTGTTAAAACCAGGAGAGAAGACACTCTCTGATTAGATTCCAGCCCACGGGCCATGGGCCACTTGCCTGCTTAAAAAATGTTATAAATGAAAAAAATAAAAACAAAATAAGGCTTGTTGTTTACTATATTATTTATCCTACATGTGGCCCAAGCCAATTGTTCACTCAGTGAGGCTCAGGCAAGCTACAAGTTGGGACACCCATGGGTTGGTGTCCCTATTCCAAGTCAGAATTCTTCTACATTTTCATTTTCCGTCCTGAGGGAGATCAAGCCACCTACCTTAGGGTGACTGAGACAATCTTGTGGGGATTCTTTCCGTTCTACATCTTCCACTGTCACACTTGGTGAACTTCATAAACTTTTATGTGTCCATAGCTTAGAGAGCTTACCACAACTAGTAGAGTTGCTGCTAGAGACCGAGCAGGAAAAAATGAGAAGGAAATGTCTTAGCTTCTGAGGTGTGTTTGGAGAGGAATGAATGAATTTTTTCTTCAAACTTGAAATATGAGTGAGATCTACTCTGAATGAGAAGGTGGTAGAAAGCTGCCCTGCTACCTTTTAAATTTTTGTCTTGTACCACTTCTCAAGAACATTGGGACTTTCTAACATTGTAAATTTTATTTTTAAAATTTTTAAGGTCATATTTATGATCTTGATTTAATTCTTGGGATTGGTGCCTGGAGGTGGGAATGGGAAGTGGGAAGAGGAGGAGTTCAGACCTCCAGATTTAAAAAAAAAAAATGTTGAAGGAAGAGTTGTTGGTTTTATAACCAGAAGCTATCAAAGCCACGGGAACTAATAATCAACCAATCAGAAATTATCCATGAAAAATTGCAGTTGTCTAAATAAAATCTTTCTTGTAAGAGTTTCCTTCCAGGACATCAGAAATATCTGGACAAAAGGTTCCTCTTTGGGACAGCCTCCTTTTGCTCCTGTCTGCAAATAACTGATGTCGAATCAGTTGCTTTTGAAGGAACAAGCTCTCAGAGCATTAATTAGGGCAGATTAAGCTCACAGATAAAAAGCATTCTTTAAATATCTGTTGTTTGGAGACATTGTGATTTTAATTCACGCTCTGCAGCCTGTATATTTTTATTTACTCAGTTAATTTCTTCTCCAGAGTATTTCCTCCAGGCTTACCAAGGTATACAGTACAGAAAGAGTTGTTGGTTTGCAGAAATAGTTGTTTCCCAATTCTGCTTTGGCTACAGATTGCTCTCTTCTTCAGGAAATAGAATGTATTTGTCTGATGATTCTAGCACATACTAGCAAAAAAAAAAAAAAACAGAACAAAAAAGCAGTTCAAAATGGTATCTTAATTTTGTGCCACTTAGAAGAAGCTTAGTATTTATTCAATAGTATCTAGAGTGTTTCACATTAATTAGGGCAGCTCCTTGGAGAGACATTATAGCCAAGCATGTTTTCACACAACAGAAAAACTCCAAGCATCTGAGCTCCCTGCTAGACCTGCCTGCTACTGGGAGAGCAGAGCTGCATACCTCCTGGAAATACCAACAGCACATATCTTACTTACTACATACATGTGATAGACCATGGGTCTGTGACAGCAATAAAATAATCATCGACAAGTTTCACGTCACTCATGATGGTCATGTCAGTTACCGGAAAAAAAATCATATTCTGTCTCAAGATTTCTAGCACGATTTCATATTGGAGACAAGATAACAAACGTAAACCCGTTGCTCCCAACCTCAGTGGAGTACTCAGAATGAGTTAAATATTTCCGTGACTGCCTAGAAGGCGGTAGCAGCTTTCAAATTTTTGTGCTGTGTTTTGTCAGAGAGGGACAGGGCAGGGGAGAGACCGGGAGGAAAACAAGGAATGTTCCTGGGTCTCAGAGTGTCTCGGTCATGACTGTACAGTAATTCCTGATTCCTGTCCCTATCACATAAAAACAATTTGATAACAGGGTGGGAGTGCTGGCAATAGTCCTGTGGGTTTAGCTTAAGCAAAAATTCTATTCTTAAAAAAAAAACAAACAACAACAACCAAGTAACAACATTCTATTCTTCAGTTCCAGGTGTCAGTGAATGACAATGTTGACCAGACTTGGTTTCTGCTCTGAGTGTAAGAGTGAAACATATGAATGCATTTAAATTTACTTCTGGATGGTACTGGCTTTCATGAAAGGAGAACCCTCCTATAAAACAAGAAAATGAAAATGATTAACTTTGACATTGAAATATAAACAACAATTTGATTAACTATACTGTTAATTATTCTTCACTGTGTAGCCAAATGTTATCTATTCTTAAAAATGACAGACGCTGGAGCTGGAGCTCAGTGGTAGCGTGGTTGCCTAGCATTCATGAGGTCCTAGGTTCAAGCCCCAGCCCCACTCACACACAAAATAGTGCTACACAGATTATTAAATCATCATATAAAATACTTACTGGAATTTCACTGCAGAAGTTTACAATGATTTCTAGCTGGTTTTCTTCTATTTTATACAGAAATATAGTTTCACTGTGAAAGCGCTGTAGGAAATTTTCTACATTTTCCCTGTGCTTAATTAAACTCATCCTCTTTCCAGTGTTTCCATGGTTATTAGTATAACCCATTTTTACTTCTTGCATTTCCGCATTGCTCCAGCATTATAGCCTAAGTATTTTCTTAGGCAGCTATGTAGTTTTTATAACCATTGATTTTAATAGTTGTATAATATACCACAGGGACTTCTTTTAGGATGAATGAATTGGGACCTTGAGGATGTTTTTGGGTTTTGTTTGTTTGAAATTTTTTGCTGATACAAAGACTATTGCAGTGAACATCTTTTGTTTTTTTTTTTGGTTTTGTTTTTCTCTGGTACCAGGAATCAAATTCACGACCTTGCACTTGCCAGGCATGTGCTGTGCTGCTGAACTAAATCCCCAGCCCCGCAGTGAACATCTTTTATACCTAACTAAACTCTATTTCCAGTGATGCAAAATACCTTAACTTCAGTATACTGAGTTTCCAACAGCTTCTAGCAAATTCAATCGTGTAATTTAATTTAGGAGTTCAGCTTTAGGTCGTATGTTTCCATTCCTCTCTGTCCTGTGACCAAGAGCACTTTTGCCTTGACTTCAAATCATACATACATTGAACGTTAGAGTTGGAAAGATCCCGAGAGACTGCAGGTGAACCGATTCCTCTACTTCACGCCCTTCACTGAGCCCCTCTGATGTGTTCTTTTTCTGTATCAGAGCACCAGGCTGGGGTCGGAAAGGGAAACGGAAGCGCAGCGCTATCACACACGCCAGACGAACGTGACTAAAACCAAAGAAGTCAGGAGAATATTGCAGTTGTTGGAAGGATGGTTTTCAGTGACGAGGGCACCTGACAGTGTAAGACAGCTCGTCAGCTTTGCATCTGACACCACTCTTAAGCAGAGGCAGGGTCCTGGGCATTTTGCTAAACTAGGGAAAATGGTCATTGGTCAGTCTCAGATCGCAGGAAAAGCCATTTCCCTTTAAGTCGCTGATATCTTTCCCCAACCTGAAAACCAATGGATAGACTGTCCATGCTGAAAAGCTCAGGCCACTGCTGGTGAGGGCTGTTCTACTTCTTCAGCTGCTTGGAGGCGGCTGATTCCCAAGGTGGGAGACTGGGGATGGGATGGCAAAGAAGGAAAGGAATCTGAGCTTGGAGACCCTGAGTCCTTATTGTAAGGTTCCACTTAGAGCTTCTTTGAATGACAACCTTTTTGTCTGACTTCCCCACTCCAGATTCTTGATATCTTCTTTGTTTTTAGTAAAGTGGCTTCACCATGTATGAGTTCGGAACAGACCTAGACAGAGGAACAGGTGCATTCATCGCCCACCCCAGGAAAGCAGTGTAACTGGTGGCTAAGATTCAAATAAACCACCCTCTTGACTTGGAATCACTGTTTCTTAATGGTGGGAAAAAAATCACATAACCAAAGTACTTTGTCCCCAACTACTTTTCATAGTGTCCCGACTAGTCCAACCACCACCCCTGAAATGGTCTCTAGCTCCACCTTGGCTCGCGTAGCACAGAGGAAAGATGTAAGCAGAGCAGGGAGAGGAAGATGAGGGGGAAAGAAGAAGCTAGATAAAAGGTCTCTGCAGTGTGGTCCTTTATATCACACTTCCTATTTCACCACACATCCTCCTCATTCACTTCGAGCCGGTATGACTCAACCCAGCTCAACAAATATCATGAGTATCATCTGCCACACACATCAGAAACAAGGCCTTCCAAGGAAATATTTTGATCTGAAGACCTAAATCGGAGTCTCCGCTTTATTATGTTAGCTAAATGAGTCAAAGCAGGTTTGTCTGGCACTGAGTTACCCATGGCTTATATGGGAAGATCATGGTTTCTCCAAAGCTTATCTCAACGATCAAGCAGAGCACTGTTGATTAAAATGCATCGAAAGATCATGCAAAGTTATATTACTATTACTGTTTGAGACGGAGAAGTAGAACACTAGCAACAGCTATCAGAGACTCTCTTGTCAGAGTGGAATTTAGTGTTAAGCTCTCAGATAGGTTGTGAATTAGCCAAGAGAGGCCATATTTTTCTATTGTTTATTTGTTTGTTTATAATGGGGATTGAACTACACCTCCACCCCTTTTTATTTATTTATTTTGGGGCAGAATCTCCCTAAGTTCCCCAGGCCTGCCATTGATTTGTTTTGCTTTGTTTTTTGTCTTTTTGAGACAGGGTCTCACAAGGCGGTTCAGACTGGCCTTGAGCTCACTGTGTAGCCCAGGCTGGTCTCGAACTCACAACGATCCTCCAGCCTCAGCCTCCTGAGTGCTGGGATTACAAGCGTGCGCCACCACGCCCGGCCAGGCCTGCCATTGAATGTGTGATCTTCCTGCCTCAGCCTTCTGAATAGCTGGGATTACAGGAATGCACCACCACATCCAGGTTGTTGTTTATTTTTTAACTCCTGGGTTTTCACTCCTGGCTCTTCTGTTCTCACCTGCATGACACAGGTAACTTGGTAGCAAAGGGGAAAAAGTTAGGAGGAAACTCCAAAGTGGGCCCTTCACGGATTCTAAGATACAGTGTCGACCAGCTGGTATTAAGACTGCTGAAAAGAAGCAACAGGAAACAGTGCGGCCGCCAAGCACACAAACATAATCCAAAGAACACACCCAGCAGGCTTTGGGTTGTCTTCTCCTGCCAGCTCTTCGGAACTGACCAGCTTCCCCTCTCCCCACCCACACCCAGCCCAGGAAGGCTGCTGGCTACTACCTGAAGTCCTTCCTGCTTCAGAAAAGGGGACAAAGTCTAGTAGCACTTCCAGTGTGACAGAGACTCTTCAAAGCTCGCTAAAAGTATTAACTCATTTAATCCTTTTAACAATTTTATGCAGCATGTGCTTCAGTTGGGGATATTGAGGGCTAGGGACTTTTAACTAGCTTGTCAAAGGTTACCTAGACAGGAAGTGGTATCAGTGCCTGGTGGTTTCCCAATAAAAGTCAGTTTAATATCAGGATAATTTTATTAACGGAAGGAAGCAGCCCCCATGGTTTTTCAGACACAAGAGCCACGGCAAGCTCCTTACCATCTGTGGAAAGAGTGATGATACCACCTTTCATCTTTAGAAAAACAATGCCGGGGCTGGGGATTTAGCTCAGTGGCACAGCGCCTGCCTGGCAAGCGCGAGGTCATGAGTTCGATTCCCGCTACCGGGAAAAAGCCAAAAGAAAAAAAAAAAGAAAAACAATGTCACCTGCCGCTGCCAGTGTACTCATTCTTTATTTCTTCTCTTGCCTACCCTAGCCTGATGTGAGTTGTAATTCACTAAACAGCATTTTATTCCAACCTGTCTTCTATCTAACTTCTGTGTACAACGGGGGCTGGGTTCAACAGAACCAAACCCCTCTTTCAGTATTCAGCAGTTTTCAATCTTTGATCTCAGATCATAAACCAAAAAAACAAAACAAAACAAAAATCAAACAGTGGCATATCCACCCATCAAAAAATTGACCTATATTCAAGCACCACATACAATTAACTCAAATGTTCCAAGATTGAGGGCAGTTAATATAAAAACGCAGCAAGGGGCCTTCTCTTAATGTCCAATTTATTCCGTGCTGCTAAAGCATGTTTGGAGGCTCCTGTCTTTTTGCCATCTAAGTCCTAGGAGGCTGACGTTGGTGCACTTCTCTAAGTGTCCGTGTGGGGCGTGTGGTGTGTCCGTGTGCTTTGGATCACAGGCCCCGGCTGCGGCTGACTCCTGAGGAAGTGGCGTTTGTTTCCTACTCAGGTGCGCTGAGGGAGTCGCTCGGGCTTTCCCCGTCAGAGCTGTGCTTTGGTCTGTGTGTTTGGGGTGGATCGTACTGGGAAAGCGTTACCCTGGATTCTTGATCGTCTCACCCTGGTTTGGTGGTTGAACTTGAAGTTTTTGATCTCTTTGCACTGGATACGCTCTGCCGGAGGTCCTAGGGCCGTGGCTCAGTCATTCCTGCCCACTCCACCTCAAGACCGCGGGCCTTTCTTCCCTTATTCTGTTCCATCCCCATAGGATTTCAAACGCCCATCCTTTCAGCCAGTTCCAGCCCAGGGCTCAGTGTCCACGGTCATCTCTTTTCCCTGGGGCTCAGATGACCACAGTGGGACAATGGGAAACGATGCTTTTGTTTTTATTTATTTTTGGAGTGCTGGGGTTTGAACCCAGGGCTTCTCCCCTGCTAAGCATATACTCTACCACTGAGCTATTCCCTGAGCTATGAGAAAATGGTTTTAGATACTCCAGTTTGGTGAAACTTATGTTTTGCCTTCATTTACTAACTTTGTTACAGGAAAAAAAAAAAAAAAAAAAAAGGAAAATAAAACCTGCTACTACTTTGGAGTAGAAGTTTTCCTGATAGTTTCTGCTGCATAATTATTGTGCTGATTTTTAAAAGTGATATGGAGGTAGCTTTGCCCCCAACAACTTGGCGATAACTGGAATTCACGTGCTGTTATAAGCTCACTCCCACCAGCCTCCCTGAATCTGATAAAGGTATCCCATCTTGGAACCAATGAACCTGGCAAAGCAGTAATGTCTTTTTCCTTATTGTTCAAGGCAGCATGAGTGGCCCTAGATGGTATAGACAGCATAGCATAAATCAGCATTGAACTGCCCAACAAGGAGAAGTGGAAGGATGTTCTCACAATTTGTTTTTGGTACCATCTTCTTCTGGAATAGAAATGGCTGCCCTAATGCTCGGGAATTGGATTAAGGTTCTAGAAGAGAAGAGGTTTTAAAGGAGGGTGTTGGGTGAGTCACTGAAGCTCTCAGCTTTAGTTCCTGTGTCGAAAAGCAATGAGACATTTCAGTCGAGGTGATTATTTACCTGTCCTCTCTCAGCTCCAAATTCTCCCTTCTACACCCTTCTCTGTGAAGCCCATTTCCAAAACCCCTGGGCCAGCTGGCTTCCTGTGAGCTCTGCAGCTGGTTAGGTAGAAGGGAAGCTTCACTGAAGGCACCAGGGAGTGGCAACCATGTAGCCAGAGGCAAAGGTTGAGCTGGGTGAGGAGCTGCCTGTGGAGCTTCCCCCAGCTCCAGCGAAAGTGTGGCAGAACCCAGCACTGGCTCCAAGCTTCTTTGAAAGGTTTACATGCTTTCAATTTTAAAGGTAAAAGCATGAACTCTAGGAAACGTGTGTTATTCCTTGATTTCAGAATTAGAGTCAAACAAAGCCAGGTGTGGTGGTGCACACCTGTAATCTCAGCACTCAGGAGGCTGAGGCAGGACTGTTGTTAATTTGAGACCAGCCTGGGCTACAAAGTGAGTTCAAGGCCACCCTGAACTGCATAGCAAGACCCTGTGTCAAAAAAAAAAAAAAGGACCCTATCTCAAAAAAACTAAACAATTAAAATAAATAAAATAAAATAAAATAAAAGAATTAGAGTAAAATGAACAAATAAAAATAACTGAACTTATATGCAAAGTAGAGAGAGATTTTCCTGTGAATGTACAAATGATTGCTTCAGGGAATACCGTTTTTATCTCCTATTCTTATGACTCATGGGTTTTGCAGCATTGAGCTACAACAAGAGTTAGCAAATTTTAGCCCAAATCTAGATGCCACCTGCTTTTGTATAGCCCCTGAACTAAGAATGGTTTTGACATTTCTAAATGCTTGGAAAAAAATCAAAATAATGATAACCACAACACAAAAAAACTATATGAAATTCAAAGTTCAATGCCCAGATGTAAGTGCTATGGGAATTTACATGTATTCATTTACACACTGTCCATCATTTACATGTATGTGGTTCTTTTGTGCTATCTACAAATTGAGTTTTGAAAGAGGACACACAATTGAAAACCTAAGAGATTTATTACTTGGATCTTATTTGAAGATATTGGCAAAGAAAA